TCAGCAGGAGTTGATGGCTTATTGGATATGAAGGCTGCCCCAAGCTGGCGTTGGATGACCAGGGACTTGCACTGAATCCAAATCAAGGGGTCCACGTGTCCCTTGAAGATTTTTTCCCTTCTCTCCTAGTGAGAAGCCAGTGTCTACTTCCGTGTCTTTCCTTGCCTTGGGGTAGGTCACCGAGGGTTACAGAGCTGGAAAATGAATCGCTGACAAACAAATTAGGAGAGGTTTGTGATCACCAGAGAGGATCAACATCCCTGACCCTGAGTGAAAGTAGTAATAGCTTTTTTTAAAAATAATGTTTATTTTTAAATATTTATTTATTTATTTAAATTCCATTTGTTATTATTATTATTATTTAATTTGACCAGAGAGAGAGAGAAAGGGAAAGTGAGAGAGCAAGCTGCCAGGTCCAGGACTTGAACTGAGGTCAGCCATGTAGGAGTCCAGCGCCTTGAGCCGCCATGCCAACCCCCAGAAGTAGTAATAGCTTTAGAAGGGACTGAAAGGAGGAGAGTGAGAGCAAATCATTCCTAAATCCTTTCCCTTATCAATTTATTTTTTAATTATTTAATTTTATTTGTTTATTCATTTATTTAAATTTGAGAAAGATACCAAGAGAGAGAGAAGAAAAATGAGAAAGCAAGCCATCAGGTCTAGGACTCCAACCGTGGTCCAGAATGAGAGTGTCCAGGGCCTTAACCACATCACCTGCTGGTCCCCTCCCTTGTCAATTTTTTTTTTTTTTTGGAGTGGTTTCTTGTTATAGGACGCATGTGCTCGCCAGAAAAAGAGAGAGACAGAGAGACAGAAAGTGAGAAATCACCCCCTTGCACCCACAAGGAATGGCCATGCCCCAATCCCTTCTTCTCCCTTCTCTGGGGATTTTGGGCACGCACGCACACACCCTGCGTGAGTTTAAGCCACAGGGTCCGGGACTCGAACCGCGGTGACTACATGAGAGTCCTCTCCCTTGTCAATTTAATAACATTATTGTGAGTATGTTATCAGTCAGTGACTCGGTGGTTTCAAACAAGAAGTTTTATTTACCTTTCCAAGTTCCGCCGACCAGCCCTCCCCCGCTGCCTGGCGCACTTCCACGCGTCTCCCTTCCGAGGCGCGTTAGTTGGGGGAGTGGTCGCCTACCCTCCCCGCACTCATCTCCGCCGGCGGGCCCCGGTTTCTTTTCTCACCGGCGCCTTCGGGCGGGGGCAGGAGGGGCGGCAGGAGTTGGGGCGGGAGGCGCGGGCCCCGGCGCCGGGCGCGCCCCAGACCCCTGCAGAGGCTTGTAGACCAGGTGGAAGATGAAAGCGTTGCAGTACCTGCGGCAGGGGGGGGGGGGGGGGGG